TTTACACTTTTAAATAATTGAAATACGTCTGTTTCTCATCCAAATGTGTTTATCTGAGCCTCCACACCTTTCCGGACAAAACATATTCTCCAGTATAGATATAGATAAAGATAATGATAATGATATAACATCTTTATTGCAGATTATATATATATTATCTAACTATCATTCCTCACTAAAATTACATAATTTTAAAAGATTCTGCATTTTCTATTTTTTTCTATATAAAAAAGAGTCAACACACCCCCATATTTCAGTATTATGGAACAGTCCATAATTATTAATCAATTAATCCATCAATTAATAATCAGCTCTTTCATGTTTAATTAAACTCACTATCTTTAAAACACACCCCTTCATAAACACCATGACTACAGCTTCATGCACACTCATTCATACACAAAAAAAACCAAACAGTGTTAATTTCCTTCAGCAAAAGCTCATTGTTATACACACGTGTGGGCATACAAATACACACACACAGAAATACACAGGGGCACACAGTGAAACTCCACGCTGTAGTTTAAGCTGTTAACTGCTGACAACAAGGAAAAAGAGTTATATCCGCTTTGATTCCTTCACACACATCAGTCCCACTCAGTGAGAGCAATGAGTAGAGCGAGTGAATCAGACAGATGAGATTCTCTCTGTTATTTACCCTCTGTACAGCTGCACACACACACACACACACACACACACACACACACACACACACACACACACACACACACACACACACACACACACAGGCTACAAACATATAGAGACATATAATGTTTCATTGGATTGTTACGAAGCACACACTGTGCTGTTTTAGGGTCCTGATATTTGCACAAGATATGCACCGTATATGCCTTTATTCATGAATGCAAGATAGATGTGAAGCAAACTATAAGGATCATGAGCATCCCCCCAATATTACTTAATGGGTTAACAAGGTTCAATTGCTCCTTTATAGAAAAGTATCTATTCCATGAGAGGGAGCCCACAGCTCTCCCACAGTACTTCCATGGATGATTTACATAAAATCTATTTAAATGTTTAAGTTTTCCTTTTTTCTTTGTTTTATATTTTTTCTTTGTGGAGTGGGAGAGAAGTAGAGGGTCCTGATTCTGTGTGGGAGGGAGAAGTGGTGAGTATGTGTGTGTTACATGCAAGATATGATATTTCATATATGGCACTGGCACTATGTTTTGGTATGTTGTGTAATGTGTGTAATGTTATGTGTGTTATACTGTGAATATGGAAAATATATATAATAAACTGAATTTTTAAAAAATCCCAGTAGTTCCTTTTGGATCCTAAGTTTCTAAACCCTCTAACCCTAAACTTAGACCTAGACCTAGTGGGGAACATATGAACCTGAGAACAAAGAAATGACCACATTACATCTGCAGTGAAACAGACATTTCTTTTACATATGACTCAAAAGATCCCAAAATGCTAATGGTTTGTCTTTCATTACATTATCACCTTCTTTATCTGCTATTCGACACATTATACGGTGGGTTTATTAGATTCAAATAAATAAGACCAAATTGTACATATTGTTCCTTGTTCATGAAGTTTTTAGTCACTGCACTATTTTCAAAGATTAATGCGGTAGAGATTTATGTTGCCCTAGAAAATATGTGCAAATATTAGTTATATTTTTGGATCTTAGTCTAATTGTGTGTCTCTTATGACAGACACTGGGGATGAAGTTTGTTTTCCCCCCTTTTCTTTACAATTCACCATTAAATGCACAGAAATCATATTGCAGCATCCAAATTAAACAGTAACAGCATTTGATTTTCTAGGTTTTTTAAAAAATTTTATTCACTGCCATATAGACACTTCAGATGCTTCAGTTTCAGGGTCCTGGTAGTGTTCATGTTGGCTCACTGTCACAATGTCATGATTTACTGAACAGAACAAAGCCATTGTTAATATTACATGTAAAACCTGTGATTTTCTGTCTGCTAATCCAGAGGAGAGCTCTAATCAGATAAATTAAAAACACCAGTTTGGGTGTAACACAAGGGCCTGAGTCACAATATTAATTCTAAAATCAGGTATCACTGGTTTTAGAGACTGTTCACTATATGACTGTACTCACTATGATAAATGTGATGTATGAGGGCATTCATTCTAGCTTCAACTTCACCCTAATTTCTCTGTACCATTACTGTGAACTGAAAGTTTCTGTCTATTCACATGCACACACTCTGGATGTTCAGTCAGTCACAAGATACAAGCACACACACATCAAACACTGAGGCTCAACTGAAGAAAAACCTCCAGAATCACAGATATGATTACAGCAAGAACAGGAAGGATCAGTTATTATCATTTAGCATATGTTTTATCTTGACGCTTGATATGCTTATTATTTGTATTATTACATGATATTGTTTTATTCTTTGTCAACTTTATATAGCTCAAGCAAATTGCAGAAACACATATGTGGAAAACACAATTAACATTTAAAATATGGCGTACCTGTTAGATTGCTGATGTTTTCCCCTTTTTCTTTTGTTTTTTACAAAACTGATAACTAAATAAAAACAAATCACATGAGGAAAATCAAATCCCTTAAATAAAACTATATAACTGAATATGTACAGCAAACACGACACTGATGTTGAATGAAGCCCACACTATGACGAGTATTATTACTGTAAGTGATAAATGACATAAACTCTAATGTCTATTACCTCACATCAATTCATCATCACAGCAGCCTGTTGTCACACAACATATTAACACTTAACCTCACAGGGGGTGCAGAGGAGTTGGTGTGTTGTACTGTGCGTGTTTGAGAAGAGAAACAAAAGGCCCAAAGTTGTAGATCTTTATAAGTAACAACAAAAATGTGTGCACACATATAGACTTTACAATGGGTATTAAAGAAGCTGTGAAATGTCACTCAGCATTACTGTCAGTAACACTTCTTTCTTATAGCTTTTCTGCAGCTCTTTCATTTTAATGACTCTTTCAGCTCTGCTCTGTTTGCTTCTCAACCTCCTATTGCTTGTCGTCACTTTCTTTCCACAGAGTGGTTAAAGCAGGGATGTATGAATGATTTCAGTTCTAAATTCTTTCTGACATGATGTTGAAGTGGTATGCTGGAAATATCCAAATCTCCTCCACACAGTGGCAGCCCAACATGCAAGCCAAGTTGATGTCCCACTCAGTCACTCTGTTGGGGTGCCAGTGAGCTGTTTGTCTAGCTGCGGGACGAAATATTTCATGAACTTCCAGGCTCTGCTGTGTGATGTTCCTCCAGGTCTCTGTTTCTTCTACACAGACTGACTAAGGTTGCTGTTCTTCTTAACTTTTCTAAAAAACAAGATGCTTGCCAACCTCAACTTGATGCAGCACTTTTTCAGTAACATTAGGCAGAGGCACACTTAGACATTCAATTATTTTACACCAGTGGAAGATAACATTGTTTTTTAAAGGTTGGAATCATTCTTCTTCTAATCTGTTAAATAAAAATGCAATAATTAAACTCAACACAAGAAACAGTGACTGCTGATGAGCAGAAAATGTAGAGAAGGACTCCATCTGGTGGGAGGTTGGATGAACCAGCACACAGGCTAACAGGAAAAGAAAATCAGTGATAATAGTTCTTAATTGTCTTATCCTTCAAATTTTCCTTGCCCAGCCATTTCATTTTCAATGTCTTGCAACACTCAGTGAGGCCACAGATAATTGAAGACTACTGGTAGATTAACATATGTTGAGCAACTATGCAGCTCAAATAATGATTGTTGTGTAATATTGCCCTCAAGTGGACAAATAAAGTAACTGCCGAATGCTACTGCCAGGGAAAAGCAAGCGTCCCATAAAAAAGTATAAATCACCATAAAAGTTGTGTTTGTCATTCCAACCAGCTGTTCCGCATCTGAACACTTGGGTAGCAAACATTTAGGTCCACTGGCTTCGAAACAGACACACAAATCAACTTGCCATATCATAGTTAAAAAGACCACTGTCAGGTTGGTGATCATTACTACCACACACAATTTCTTGCAGCACTTGCTATCATATGTTGATTAGCTATAAACGAGAACCTATCTATTAGTTCACAGATTTACTATTAAAGGGCTTATCCTGAACAACCACAGTGAGGTATAGTCTTGTAAATATACACATTTACTGTAGGCAACTGCATCCACATCACTATCAGTAAAAGGGACACAAAGCCCTAAAACAGACTTTACACAAATTACATAATATTGCACAACTCTCTTTAAATAATGTGTTGGTGCCCCCTGAATCCAAAAACATGCATCCTCTCTGCCTCAATGTATAATCTGACTTTAGACTATTTCTGTAGTGAGTTTACTGTTGACCCAAATGACAACCTATCCTCGATGATATTCACTTCAGGTTCAGAAGACAATAATGACGCTAATGTCTTTTTTTCATGACGGAGACTAATGTTGAAAGTAATGAGGTTGAATTCAGTAGTGGATATTTTTTTATTTATTTATATATGAACCCAGTTTTTTCTACAATGTTATGTTTACTCTATGACCTCCTATGTTTCACATTTAGTGGTGCACATTTATTTATGGGATATTTATTATAATTCTTTTTCTCTTTTCTAATATGATCCTTATATGCTTCTGTAGTTTATTTTCTACAGTGGATTTTGTTCTTGTGTTGATATTTACTGTGTTTCTCTATTTGCTTTGGACATATGTGATGACGTTGGAGGTCTTTTTTGGCTATGAATTATCCTGAAGAAGTTGTAGAAGATGTAGATTTATCTAATTTAAAATAAGACTGTAGTGTATAAGAGATATGTTGAGGTGTGTGTGTGTGTGTGTGTGTGTGTGTGTGTGTGTGTGTGTGTGTGTGTGTGTGTGTTTCCTCTGCATCCTTTTCTGCCCTCTCCACCCCACACCAATCTAAGGATTAACAGTAAGATTATAATCTAAGGTTCATGGGTCTTCTTCAGTGAAGGCTACGCGGCACCAAACGTGCTCTCTGACGTCAGCGCGTACTGAGAGCGTAGCGTGGCGTCGCGGCCGTGCCTGCCCTTCACATCCGTCCACATCCTCCGAGGCTCTACTCTGAAGCGCAGCACAACGATGGCCCTGCTCAAGTCAAACAAGGTGATCTACTGTCTGGGGAACATTTCCCCGTCCCTGGGAGTGCTGTCCACCCGCAACAGGTAAACAGAAATAATACGTTTAAAATGTAAACTGGCAAACAGGCGTTTAGATACTGTTGCCTTGGTAATATAGCGGCGTGCCCGTCACATTAGTTTTACAGCTAGCTTAAGCCGCACACGAGCACGTTATTTTAAGGTTAACAATTATTGACAGCCATCGGTTTAATGCTGAAACTTAACTGCTCTGTGCTCGCTGTAGCCACACTAGCTGGCTAGCTAAAGATAGACAGGGGTCAAATGGTTTCAATAGGCCGCTGTGTGAGGGTTAGCGTGTTAGCTCCAGTATGTGCCCAGGACGGACTCCAGCGTTAGGAGTCTCTAACCTCACAGGTCAACACCTGTTGTGCTACACATCCTCTTCGATCTGCACTAAGTTGACCTTAGAGGGTCACTTGGTGTTGCTCTCAGCTCGCAGGTGATGAAAGTCACGTTGGTGTGTCAGCAGCACAAAGTTCCCAGGAAGCAGAGGCTGGAGATCGATATGGTTCCTTATAAATGACTTATGTAATAATAATAATAATAATAATAATACCACCAGGAATGTGCCGTCTACGGTTGGCTTTTCTTTTGCTTTTGCAGGAAACTTTTATTAATGATTTACACAATCGCGATGTCTTCAGCTGTCATATCCCACGCACAGTTTGAGCTAAGCGACTTGTCGTAGTTGGTGATGCCGTGCGAGCTGATTGGCTGTCGCGTTCCGCCTTTGATCGCTGATTGGTTCATTTCTAGCGGTGAGGCTGAGACAGGCACCGATGTCCTTTCAGGCTCTTCTTGGAGGGCAAACACGTTTAGATCTGATGCTGCTCTTTTATGAGCCTAACGTATTTAATATGCAGCCTTTGTAGATGTAGACAGTTCAGTGGAGGTTGTGAATGTATCTCTGTGTCTTTGTTCAGCCTCTGTTTCTATCTCCGCAGGTGTAACTGTAGGTTTCGTTTTGCCAGGCGGTGCTATCATATTTCTGTCTGTGTGGGTGTGTGTCAGAGTTTCTGCTTTTGTCTCATCTTGTCGTCTCATGTTCAAACACATTGGTCTGGTTTCAGAGAATGAATAAATGGCAATAGGGTTGTTTCTTTCCACCACAGTAATCATGCGTTTTTATTTCATGTTAGATGCTAGCATCAATGGCAGGGGGTGGCTAAAGAAACACCCTTTTAAGCCCTGCAGTCCTCCTCTGTAGCTTGCCAAAAGGGCCTTTGGTCTATTGATCACTGATAACTTGTCAGTCTCTGTGATGTTTATATAAATGCTGACGTTCAGCTGTTCAAAGGTTCTGTGTACATGCACACTGCATGCACAGTAAGACCACTTCAACTCAAATGCCCCTTACTGTATGTAGAATATTTGCTCCTGTGATTCACAATTGTACAATATTACACCGTAAAATGATTAAATATTCCTTTGTTTGCATTTTGCACGGACACATTTATTATTTTGTTGCCTTATTTATGTTCTCACATACACGCTTGCATACAATCTTTGTTAAATCTACTCTGTAAGGTGCTTACTGTATTTCACTGTCTTGTGCAATGAAAATTCTTATCTAATCGTAAACTTCAAAAGGATGTAGCACAGTTCCGATAACGGCATTTACAATACACTAATAATAATAACTCAGCCTGAAAAATACAGTGGAGGTAAGATATCTCTGATACCTTTTGAACATTATAAGCTTCTCAGGGGCTGTTGTTTTTTATTGCATTGTAAAGTGTTGCTTCGATTGTATCGTCAGCCACCTGTAGTGTAAGCATCAAACACCCCATTGTATTTAGGTGAACAAAAGTGAGGCTGAATTAACCACATTTCTGTTGTTTTTTTTAACCTGACCACTTGATTTTCATCAATAAACGTGTTTGTCAGTGAACGGTAGTCACTATTTAATAAACCAGTGTGATCTTTTTAAAATGATTGGTAGGGGATTGGAGACTCTTGCCCTTTGCAAAGTGTTCAGTCCTAAATTTAGCTGCAAGGTTTAGAGGGTTTACAAAGTAGAAGAAACCCGAGACAATATGCGAGCAGCATGGAGTGAAGGTCGCAACATACAACAACTCTCATCAAGCAGATGTGTGATAGAATATTTAAATGGGTTACAGTGACAATATGGTTATTATATTAGCAGTAATCCATTATGATGTAGTAGCCAAATATTCAGTAGCAAAACAGTCAACAATGCCCTGATTTTATAGGCCTTTAACACACACATTTTATTGCCATCTACCAAAGTTTCAGTTTCAGTTTTCAGTTGAATTTCATACCTTTACGTCAGTTGTAATGTTCGCTTTATTGTTCTTGTATGTATTTCTCTCATGTTATCTGCCTAAACTCCAGAATTGTGCTGCATACTATAAACAAGCAGAAATGTAATGTAATTCAGGTTAATAGAGATAATCATTGTATTCATCTTTGGTCGATAGCACTTGCACAGATGACTCTGCTATAGTGTTTTCTTGGATGCCACACTGAGTGAGACACTTCCTAAAAGATCTGTCTGGATGTTCCTTATTCTAAGTTTTGGATTTTTTGCCGACTCCATCCCCTTTCCTCATACATCAGGTTTCATTTGCTCTAGAAACTCTTTATTGTAGAGACAGAGTGATGAAGGGCCTGTGTTCCTGGACCAGACAGTAATGGAAGGAAAATTATTTCAAAACCATTCATCCCAAATGAAATTGAAGTGGTCCGTGTAAGCCTTATGTGTGTTTTACTGTGGTATGTTGTACGTAACCAGTCTAAAGTAGATTTAGTACATTTACACAGTGTCATGTGGATAATAAGCTGTAGACTGTAGAGTCAGGCTGAGGTCACAAGGTCAGAGTGTATGACCTTTTTACATGTGATAGGGAGTTTACATTTGCTGTCTTTAATGCTGGTGTACTTACTCCTACACCTTTTCGTTTGCCTTTGCACACTTTAGTTTGCAGGTATTTCCTTATTCTTATTACAAGGGATATTGATATTTCCACAGCTCAGTAGTTTATTGAACTGTTGTAGGTGATTTGGTTTATTCATGAGAATATTTTAACATTTAATTTATAGTCAATCTGTGAATAATAATGAATAACTAAATCAATTCATTCTTCAGCTTTGAATCAATTCTTTTGAAAAGAGAGCAACGCCTAAAACACAAGAAGTTTTAAGACATGGTTAATGTGATATTACATTGGGACCTTTAAATAAAAACATATAAAAGTTAGCTAGTGATTAATCAGGACTGTTTTGTAACACTAGATAAATATGAATAAAAAATAAGAAGAAACCAACAAGCCATGAACAAGCCATTGGCCAGGTGAATTAACCTTTTTAAAAAGCATTGCATATATAGTCAAAAGCACAAATAAAGGTAATAAAAATAGTAAATAAAATGTGCATTCTTGTTCATAATTTAATCTTCTTGAATGATATTAATATTTTTCTCACTATAGAGTAACCTATTGGGTGTTTATTATGGTGGAAATAATGACGTGAACAAGGGAGTGATTTTGTCAACAGTATGTTTCAGACCCAGATTAACTCCTGCTTCTGGACTCTGGACCTTCTGAATGGATTATAATGTTTGTTTCATTAAAACTTGTGCCCACTGAGCATGTGTCTCTACGTCAGTGTGGTATCCTCACGTCACATAAGGAGTTAATCTTGAGCATTAGGTCGACAGCATGTTACAGGAGCATGGCTAATTCGGCCATCACATTAGTGTGACCAGTGGCTTTCATGAGGCCATGAAAATAGCACATACGACCTTGTAAGGATACATTAGTGTTTCTGTCTATGAGGGAAATAACTGTTTTCCAGCGCAGTGTGCACAGATGAACTAATTATTCACCTGATATGGTGTCTTTACAGCTCATGGTGGGGTGGAGTGCAGATGGGTCCCCCCGATCCCATCCTGGGGGTGACTGAGGCCTTCAAGAGGGACACCAACCCCAAGAAGATGAACCTGGGAGTGGGAGCCTACAGGGATGACCAGGGCAAGCCCTTTGTGCTGAGTTGTGTCCGCAAGGTATGACTGCCCCCAAACCCCCCCACTGAATCCACTGCATTTTTCTCATGTGACACACACATGCACACAGTGGTTTCCCCCATGCAATTCAGAGGTTTCCCTTCACCTGAGAGATGAAAGCAGTCATATCATTAGCCTTGTTGGAGGTGAAGTGCACCTCGCCTGGAAAGTGGACAAGATCAGGAGGCAGCAGCAGGAGGAGGTGACAAAAAGCTGCAGTCAAGTCAGTCAGTTTCCAGCAGCCCTCCGTCTGACCCATCTGTAGGCTACTTGTAGTTTTTAGACCATGTTCGGGCAAATAGATCAACTTTGTTAATATTATTAACCACACAAGATGTGTTTGTTAACAGATTAAAACCTTCATTGCACAACATGGGACTTATAGGCTGAAGTCTAGTGTTAAGTATTACAATTACACAGAAAATTAGGATTTTCTACAAAAGTTTGAGTTTGTGGTCAAACATAAGAGCCATTGGACACAAATCTAAGTGGCAGGAATTGTTGATCACTGGTGATTGATTTTGCGCAGGCCCGGTTCATCTTGAACGAGCATGTTGAATCTTAGTTTCTCATGCCAGTGAACTCAAAGAGAACAGTACTCCACTATCAGTCTGCGTGACCTTTTTAAGTGTCATGCCTGTAGGGGTCACTCAGGGAGCTGGATGGTTTACATTTTCACCGGGTGAAAAGGTTGTTGCTGGTCGGGATCTATCTCATTGGTGCATTCTTGCTTTGTCATCCTGAGCTTAGCTTCTGTAGCCCTGTAGAACATCATCATTTCACACATGTTAGTAATTAGGAGAAGTTCTGCTTTATCACCATGAGAAAGTGCATTAGATTTTTGTCTAAGAACGTGTTATCATAGATTTTTTATGTACAAAGGGTCGTAATTTCCTTGACTGGAATGCCTTCCAGTCAAGGAAATTACAATAGTTGTGTTTTACACCTATAGATTTTCACACTTCTTCTTTTTCTAGGCCGAGGCTATTATTACATCCAAACAGCTGGATAAGGAGTACCTTCCCATTGGTGGTTTGGGGGAGTTTAGCAAGGCCTGTGCCGAACTCGCTCTTGGTGCTGATAGTGAAGTCTTGAAGAGTGGCAGGGTAAGTTAAGTGGCGTTAACTACTCTAAACTGTATAAAGTTCAAATGATTTCTGACATTTTAAGTTCAGTTTTCCTCCCCCAACAGAACATAACTGTCCAGACCATCTCAGGAACTGGGTCTTTGCGCATTGGAGCCAACTTCTTGGTGAGGTTCTCTTGTATTTATCACTTGACACAAACAAACATTGAGGTCAGGCTGGTTATCTCACCAGATGTTTCTTTTGTCACAGTCTCGTTTCCATGGAGGTCCACTTGATGTGTACCTGCCCAAACCCTCCTGGGGAAACCACACACCCATCTTCAGAGACGCTGGCATGCAGCTCAAAGCCTACAGATACTACGACCCCTCCACCTGTGGCTTTGACTTCAAAGGAGCTCTTGATGATATCTCTGTAAGACATTGATGATGGACTAGCCAGGAATATGCGTGAAGACGATAAGAAACATATTCAAACATTACATTCTAATTATCAGAAGGGACATGAAGGGATTTTGTTGACAGTTTTGTAATTATTTTGTAAATCTGTAATGTAATGAGTTATATGTATGGAAAACTTTTTTTTTTTAATCTCACAGAAAATCCCAGAGCAGAGCGTGATCATGTTGCATGCTTGTGCCCACAACCCCACCGGTGTGGACCCCAGACCTGAGCAGTGGAAGGAGATTTCTGACATTGTAAAAGTGAGTACTCCTCACCTCAGTAAAGCTCTGTGAAGTTTTTGCAGTTAAATTCTAATAAAATGCCCTGACACATTTTCTTTTATCTCAAAATCAGAAGGTCTTTGACAGATCAAAAGCCACAATTGATAAGTACTAGCCCTTATCTGGCTGTCACTTTATTAACTGCCTGTCTCTGTCTCTCTCCTGTGCCCTACCCCTTTTTTCATCTTATAGAAAAGGAACCTGCTCGTGTTCTTCGACATGGCCTATCAGGGCTTTGCAAGTGGAGACATCGATCGTGATGCCTGGGCTGTGCGCTACTTCATTGAGCAGGGCCATAACATCGTGCTGTCCCAGTCCTTCGCCAAGAACATGGGTCTTTATGGTCAGTCAGAATTCAGTACAAGATCTTCTTAAAGAAAACATTAATAAAGACGACATGCAGATAACAGCAAATACATGAAATTAAACATTTTATTGAAACTGTAAAAATTAGAAATGGTACTGGTAAGTTTAACTTGTGTTGGACAGTGTCTGTTCATTTTAGCATCTGGTTTGTCTGTTCGATTTGGGGTTCGATCAAACTGCAGAATCTTAAAGTTAAATTATTAAATAATAATTTATTTGCTCTACTGTAATAAGGGGAAGATGGAGATTCCTTTATAGAAGCCAGAATGAGTGTATGTCTGGATGTGGCTGTGAGCGAATACAAAACCTACATAGTGCCTGATCAGGTGAAGTATAGCTTGTGTTTTACCACCACCCAGTGGTAAAAACTAGTTGGTGAAAAATGGTTTAATTCCAATAAGCATTCAGACTTTGAAAACACTGAATATATTTTTCATTTAGCTGCGAAGCACAGCTACGCATGTTTCACATTTTACAAATTATTTTACAAACTAGATGTCTATTTTGGCTACTTGTGACTGTCATGTATAACCTCAAACCTAATTTATAATGTTCTAAAATACCCTTTACTGGTTACAGATTTACAATATGTAAATATGTTCTTACTATTTAAATATAAAGATGTAGTGCGTTCTTCATCATTATGTTCTTTGATCATAATGTGATATATTGGGTTAAATCATCAGATTAAGCCCAGACATGAGTTTGTCATACTCACTGTAAATCACTTTGTTTAACACTCATTGCTGATATTCACAGGTGAGCGTGTGGGAGGCTTCACTGTGGTGTGTAACGATGCAGAAGAGGCAAAGAGGGTGGAGTCTCAACTTAAGATTCTCATCAGGCCCATTTACTCCAACCCACCAATGAATGGAGCCAGAATTGCAGCAACCATTCTCAACACACCAGACCTGCGCTCCATTTGGTATGTAACTATAGATGCATATATCCACACTTATATTAGCTGCATCTAGTTTGGATGTTTGTAAAAGCACTTCAGCTTCAAGTCTCCATCTTTCATATGCACCAGACCTTTCAAGATGTATTCTTAAATCTATTTCTTGATCGGTTTACCCTGCTGTCGTCCAGGCTGGGGGAGGTCCATGGTATGGCTAACCGCATCATTAAGATGAGGGAACAGCTGGTAGCTGGTCTGAAAAAGGAGGGCTCCTCCCACAACTGGCAGCACGTCATCGACCAGATCGGGATGTTCTGCTTCACAGGCCTCAAACCCGAACAGGTACACACACTCACACATAATCGATACCACTCTCATATATGTCTGTTAAATATAGGGTTACAACAAGGACCAGTAACTTCCTGGAGTCTCTGCAGGTAACTGCTCAGAGCAAAGAAATAGTCCAATTTATAACCCCCGATAAAACAGAAAATTGTTCATTTTTAGTCTGCAGTTTTTATACTGATTAAACAAACAAGATATAATGTGTAAATTAATTATCTTTAGAAGTGCTGGTGGGTGGATTTTTCTGTCTGTTGGACACAGACTGGCTAGCAGTTTCCCCATGTTTCCAGTGCGAAGTCATGATGAGTATCTCTTTATTAAATGGGAGCTATTATCATTTGAAAATGTTTTAATACAGAACAGTCATTACTTCTCTCTTCTCGCAGTACTTTTCCCACTGGTCCTAAAAACTGCAGTTATTGAGACAATCTTTAAAAGGAACAAACCTCACTAATGGACAATTACAGGCCCATATCAAACACCTTATTTTTGAGTTTAAAAAAAAAAGATAATTGGCCCTGAACAACTATTTTGATATTTTTGATTCAGGATTTTAACCACAGCACAGGCTGCTCTTGTTAAGGTCTTGAATAACGTAATATTATTAGATGTCAGTGCTGCATTCCACATGATTGACCACAACATATTACTAGACAGACTGGAAAACTACTGCTACTTTATGTCAATTATTAATTACTTAATAAGTAATTACACATCTGAATGTACACAGATAACATGTGGACTGCCCCAAGGCTCCATTCTCGGGCCTCTTCTGTTCAACATCTACATGTTCCCATAAGTTCATATTATGGAAAACAACAAAATATTTTTTTATGGAGAAGGAAAACCTTGTCCATGCTTTCATCTTCGGTTGGCTCAACTACTGTAAGGCTGTCTTTGCCGGTTGGTTAAAAAGTCGATCAGACAGCTGAAGCTGATGTCATAAAGTTTGTTGAGATACAATGAGGGAATGTTTGTTGTTAAAATACTGACACTGTGTGTGTTGATTAATTTTTCTGCAGGTTGAGCGTCTGACAAAGGAGTTTTCAGTGTATATGACCAAGGATGGCAGAATTTCCATGGCAGGCGTGACCTCTGGGAACGTGGGCTACCTGGCACAGGGGATCCATGCGGTCACCAAGTAGAGTGGATCGTGCTGGGAGAGCTACGAAATCAAAGAGTTAAAGAGGAGCTTTATGTGTCACTAATTCTCTGTCTCCTCCATTCCACCTTGTAGAAAAGAGCTCAATATTTAGTTAGACATTTTCTTGATTGGATTTCATGAGTTCAACTTGGAACAGTTGCTGCTGTTTCTGGTTTCTGGTTACATTAACATTTCACTGAACAGGCTCCCTCGCCAAAGTATAAAAGACAGGATTTTCTCCCGCTACTGATGGATCATTTTTGCTTATTTATTATGTGGAATCAACGGTTGGCTGTGCATTTGTGTCCTCCTAAATGTGTGCTGTTTATCTGCTCTCACTCAATATAAAACATCAAGGAACCAACATCGGGGTAATGTCAGACTGTGCACTAGTTTTACTTTCAAGATGAGATCTCTGTTGCTATATAGAAGCCTGTAGAAAATGTGAGTTCTTTTTTTCTTAATTTTAATGGTTGAGTCGTAGCACTTTATAAGTTGTAAGGCACTGTTTGAGTTTTACGGTTAGGCTGGTACTCTTTTTATTTGTCAATCATGTAATCAATTCACTATCAGGCTAATCTGTGGTTGTTCATCTGAACTAATCAATCATCCAGTAATCTCCTTATTTGGAATTTACCTGTCTATCTCCCTGGCATCCAGTACTTTTCCAGTAGGATTTGTAAAACACTTTTGGGTTTCAGTCCAGTTGGTGGCAGGGCAGCAGTCTCTCAGTCGGTCCTTTCTAACCCTGGATACAAAAAAGCACACAAGCCAAAAAGAGTTAAGCTCAAACAGACTGTGATCAGTATGAATGAATGAATTCTACAATGGAGAATTTTTCTTCATATTGCCCCATAGCCCAAAATCAAATGGCCCATTTCCTATTTTTTTTTCCTTAATGGAGTCTTTGTATTTGTTACAAATGTTTCTCTGTGTGGTTAATAAAGATGAGTGGGGTACCTGATTGAGGTTGAACACAGGACGGTTCATGAAGAAATGTCCAGACGCTACTCATTCAAGATATCATGGTTCAGTATATGAATCTGTTCGTCAGTGAGACTGTGAGACACAAATGCCATTTAGAAATGTGGGGTTTTCCCCCACTCTGCTCATACTTCTGAAACTTCTGGCACGTTGCCTCCACGTTATGCATTCTGTCATACAATAACAGATCAGTGGTCATGTACCTTATTGAACAAACAATAAATCATTATAGAGTAATGATCTGTTCTAATGTGTGTTTTTTAAACCCTCCTTGTGTGATGAGTTAATTTGACTCTTTTCCTTACAGTTTACTCATATTTCCATGCTTATGTTCCTACAGCATATCTTATTTAATTAATGGTTGACTTTACATTACACTGAGTGAATGTGTGTGAAAGGGTGAATGTGGCATGTAGTGTAAAAGCGCTTTGAGTGGTCGGAAGACTAGAAAGGCGCTATACAAGTACAGGTCCATTTACCATCCATTTACCATTACAATAATATAACACGTGCAGTATATTTAAGGTCCATGTGGAGACGTCACAAAGCTCATCTTATCTAAAAATGTTACTGTATAATGATTAGTGTTTTTCAATGAACCACAGATTAGAGGTGTTCACTGTGTGGCCCTGCAGCATGGGGTCCTCTGGTTGGGCGAATAAACACAGACGACTACAATACCCAGAATTCCAAACGAGAAGATTCCGATCACGTGACGAAGTGTCACATGCTCCTCTGCTTTGTACGAGCTGCCAAAACAGAGAGAGCTCAGTCATTTACCTGCTGTGGAGGCTGTGTAACACTGAAGGTACTGTTCCTCACTATCAGCATTTTATCCTCTAAACATCACTAGAAAAGCGACAACATTACAGTGAACAAAACCGAGGAAGAGATATTTAAACGTGTGTTTGGTGGATAAATGAGCTTACTTGTATTTAGTGTCTAGCTAGGTGTAGCGTTTGCTAGCTAGCTATTGTAGGACGCAGAGTAACAAAGAGGTTGATTGCGTTGACAGAAGTTATTGTTACGTTAATGAAAGGAAAAGCAATGATATAATCACACTAAAAGTTGGGGGTATTGAACCGGTAGTCCTTGTGGGCAGCTGAAGGTGTGTCTGTGTGGAATAAGATAGCAGTAAATTAAATTGAGGTCATCATCCGCACCTTCTTTACTTCTCTTTAACGTTGGCTTTACTTTATCTTTCACCGTTTCTGTCGGCATTATTTAAGTTTATTAAGGGATTTAATGAGACCTCCACGCAGCACACTTTCCACATCGTGTTCGGTATATTATTGTTTTTGAGACTGATGTTTGTTCTCGAGCCCACTGTGGTATTACATGGTCTTTTAAAGGACATTTCACTAAATACAGTGGCATAAGACAAGTGTCAGGGTCTTAAAAAATACCATCTGATTACCTTTACCTAGCCTGGCTTGTATGAAAGGCTTAACCCTCTTCCACTTGTGTTCTCTAACATGCATATCAGTATTAATGGCAGCCTGTACTGATGTGGAAATACTTGTTTAGCTGCTTGACTTGAGGCTTTATGTCTCTTTCACAGGTCCTTGGTGTGCAGCGGTTACACTGTAATATTTAAAACTACTATGTTGTTACTTGGGTGAAGGTATGCACTGATATTGGTAATGTGGTGCTTCAGGCCACCCCCGTGCTCCTGGGTATTTACTTCAAACACACAAGGTGCTTGTTAGTAGAGCACGAGAAAATATTAAGGAACTGGCTCATTATAACTTTGCTCTAAGGAACCACCAGTGTTCAAAAACTTCACAAGGAAACCTTTTGATATACTCATAATGACGAGGTGGGCCAATCATTTGCAGGTTTCATGTCAGAAAAAACTAAACAACCTACTGTTTGACAAGAAAATTGATGTTAATTTTTGATAAAGAATTACTGTTTTATATATTACATTTTTTCCAAGAATACAGTGCGGTACTAAAAATCACCTTTTGTGTTTGTCATTTATTAACAACAATCCAAACACTAAGACAAATAACTACTAACTCTACATACATTTACACTGTATCTTGATATGATATCAGCACTGTGCATGCTCAGTTTATATTTGCCATTGCAAGTATCTCTAAATGCAAACAATATTTCATTACAGATTACCGATCAGCTCCACCATCACACCGACAGTGGTGAGAAACATCAGCTGCTTCCTGACTGGTGTGGTCTGGACCTTAAATATTAACTACTACTGCGCGATTCCCTGTCCTCTCACTCAGAACTTCTGATCAACTTTTCAACTCCACTTGGATCTCTAGGGTTGAAGGCAAATTTTCTTGGGTGTGTAAGGCTTGGCAGGCTGAGCTACAGCCTGTTGACTCATGGCGATTAACACTGATGTCGAAGACTGGGGAGGAGTTGGGAGTAATGACTCTGGAGAAAGAGCGTGGCTCTTGCAGAGCCCCAGCGTGGATTCTGACCGGCATCTTGAGACGGACAGGAGGAGGAGCGGGGGCGTGTCCTCTTTGGGAGCTGTCTTCATTGTAGTGAACGCAGCGCTGGGAGCAGGGCTACTCAATTTCCCTGCAGCCTTCAATATGGCAGGAGGTGTAACTGCGGGAGTGATGCTTCAAATGGTGAGGAGTTCCCAGTGAGGCACACATTCCTTTATGCCCCCTCTGCAGCCCCTTTCCCCACTGCATGAGACACATGTTCAGACAATAAACCTTTGGTGTAATGGGATAAATTGGGCTGCAACCCCATTATTTAATGTGTAAGATGTTGACAAATAATAATCAGACATTTCTAGAGGCCAAAGGGATAAACACTTCACTTCATCTCACTAAAAGAAGATGTGCAGACACACAGTACTTTAAACTGAATAGCAGAGATGATAACAGCTGACAGTCTGGATGTATTTTCTGTTTTCTTGTGACCAACACAAAACTGCCTATAGACAATAATTATCGGGAACTATAATGTGATGCTTCCCGTTTCTTTGTTTCAGTTTATGCTGATCTTCATAATCAGTGGACTGGTGATCCTGGGCTACTGCTCTCAGGTTTGTGTCACCGTCAGATTTCCTGAAAGTCTTTCCATCTCTTCCTCTTCCTCTTGTTTCTCTTTCATTTTCTGCTGCCTTTTTTAAAATCTTACTACTTTTCTGTCATGTGAGTATTTTTCCTTCAGTAATGGTGAAATAATCGGAGCAGCCTTGTGTAACAACTTGGTTGTTGTTGGCATTGCACAAAAGCTCAGACCTTCGCTTCCTGATGGCTCAGACTTTTGCTTACATGTCAAAACAGAATCCAAGTCTGAGTCAGTTAAATATATTTTAGTTGTTGATCACTTTTCACTTTATAGATATTTCATTTCATTACCCAGTTTGGCTTTAACATATAAATCTCTGCCATATTCAGCTGTAGGGTGAACTTTGTGTTAAAGCATGTGCTACCACGAGAATTGCTGACTTCATCAGTATGATTAACTGCCTGTACTCAACAGCCTAAAACCATTACGTAGGCTATAACCATACCTTAAACTGAAGATGATACAGTCAGCAGTGTGGCTCCTGCTGCAGGTTTGTGGAGTGGAGAGAAACACCTGTGACCACCTGGTTGATAAAATACGTCAGTTTTACTTGCTGGAAAGATCAGATAAAAAGAAATGACCATAGGATGAATACACAAGTCAATTTCACCCTTTTTGTATGGTTGGCAACAAGAGCTTGTCAAATCTTAAATCACATGAGCGATAGCAGCAGAAGATTGTTTGGTTTTCACAGTTGTCAGCAAAAAAGAATGAAACTACTGTGGGCATATAATTGATAAAATGGGCAGATGATGATTAGAGTACTGTTCTTGGATCTGGTGAATCCCTGTTTCTGTTTTGAGACAATGTCAGAAATTTGTATGATGCTGGTGGTGTTTTTTAATGTTTTCATGGTATCATCTCGAGCCTCACTAATGACTCAGCATTGTATAAAAGCCTCAGGTTACCTAAGACATTGTTAGCTCTTCAGGTACATCAAGGCCTCAGTTTACTGTAATTCAAATGGATAACTCTGTATGTTGCTGCACCATCTCACAACGCATCCATCATCTCATAATGGTCATAGATACCAGACAGTGACTTTGATTTACTCCACTGGCTCCAGGATGTGTTTCTTCACCTTGACACAAAGCCCACAGCCTTGCACTGTATTGCTCTGAGCACATTCAACCCTACTGTGTATGTAGACAGATTGTAACTTGAATGTCCACTTTTCAATCATCCGTCTGGTTTCTTCAGGTCAGTAACGAAAGCACCTATCAGGAGGTTGTCCGAGCCGCTTGTGGGAAAGTCACAGGTGTCATATGTGAAGTAGCCATCGCTGTCTACACCTTTGGGACTTGCATTGCTTTCTTTATTGTCATTGGAGACCAGCTGGATCGCTGTAAGTATATTCACAGTCAATCACTCACCAGCCACGCTGTTTCTTTCTAATTTGATCAGACAACAGTTAAAATGCCATTTGTCAGAGCTTAGCTTTGTGTAATTGTCATTGCTTCCTGTTCTGTCGCCTACATTTACATTGACTACTACATTGACTGATTGCCCTACATTTTAGCAATCTGTATCTGTGGAGGAGGGGGAGGACAAAGGAGGATGTTTAGTAGTAGTAGTGTTGATAACCTTTTTAAAAGCTGTGCCATCATTCACGAGGGCAAAGAGCGTCAAGGATGACACCACTCAGTACATGGAAATCTAACAGTTTGTCACATGAGGGACACATTTACTAAGACGCTGACAGTGTAGAAATCCTACTCTGGCCTGTTTCTAGAAATAGACTGTGACCTTTCACCTCTTTTGGATTGAATGAATTAAGTTGTTGTGACTTTAATGATCTACTTTGCTAAATCTCTTCCGTGTGTACATCAGTTAACAGTGAATTTCCACTGTGGGACTCTCTATTCCCTTCTGTCTGTCTGTTCTCAGAGATTTTTTTTTTTTCTTGCAGTGATAGCTGCAATGCCTCATGAATCCGATGCTACAGTCAACAGCTACTGGTACACTGACCGTAAATTTACCATTGTTGTTACTGCCGTCCTGGTTATTCTTCCCCTCTCCATCCCCAAAGAGATTGGCTTTCAGAAGTATGCCAGGTACAAACATCGCTTATTTTTTTCACTGAGGATTTAAAAACTTTTTCTGTGCATGGCGTTCATTTCTGAGTTGTTGTTGTTGTTGTTGTTCATTTTAGCGCACTGAGTGTGATGGGAACCTGGTATGTTACCATCGTGGTCATTATAAAGTACATCTGGCCGGATAAAGAGGTGACTCCGGGCTATGTTCCCACGAGGTGAGTTCTGCTGCTCACATTTCATGACACTGCTTATTTTATGCAGCTAACAGCTTTATAAAAATGTTTTATTGATCATTTTAGCATTGGCCACCTGCTCATTCAAGCAGAAACATCTGCATCCTCGTCGTCATGCTTTGCTTGAGTTGTTCAAAATGGTTGTGTTTGTTACAGTTCTTCTTCCTGGACTGCAGTTTTCAATGCAATGCCCACCATATGCTTTGGTTTCCAGGTATCTCTTCATTTGGTATCATTTGAGATCATAAAACTATATGACTATTCTTTTGAACAGTTTGATACTAATGAATTATTTTTGTCTTGATCTCTCTCTGCAGTGCCATGTCAGCTGTGTGCCGGTGTTCGACAGTATGAGCAGAAAAGAGATCAAACCTTGGGGAGTTGTAGTCACACTCAGCATGATCATTTGTCTCTTCGTTTACACAGGAACAGGTATTATCAATGTTTGCACTCATTAGTCAATCTACACTCAATAATGTATCGAATAACCCGTCGGTGAGTCTCACAGTTATTGACTGAATACTTTTAGGAAATTGCTTGCTTACAGTCGTGATAAATCCAGCTGATAAAATGAACATGTCTGTTTAACAAATCCAACTTTATATCATGTTTTAGATCAGTTGTCCAATTTAATGGTTCTCTTGTCACATGGATACAGATATGAAGTCGTTCCTAATCTTCAACATGTAACAGGTCTCAATGTTTCAGTTCAGATTACGCTGATGGCAGTATAGCTGGCTCATGACTTGCTGTCAATACTTAAATGCTTGTTGTGTTTTGTGTTGGCTCAGGTGTCTGTGGCTTCCTGACATTTGGCTCCAATGTCAGTCAGGATGTGTTGATGTCATACCCTCCCGATGATATTGCGGTGGCCATCGCAAGAGCCTTTATTGTCATCTGTGTCATCACCTCCTACCCCATTTTACACTTCTGTGGCAGGTAAGATGCAGTGATATCCACACATTTGGTCTCCCTGTTCAGCATACTGTTTACTTAAAAACAATGCTGATGTATAAATATTTCTACTTATAGTACAGTGATTTGGAATTACAGCCTTGTGTTACCTTACATACAAGAATGATCCAGCTCAGTGGCATACAGAGAGATATAGGGGAGAGTGGGGTAAGATGAGCCATTTTTCATATTTAGGATCACTACATCAAGGCAATCATAGTTTTGTCGCTAACTAATATATCTGCATATATTTCAGGATGTTGTGCATCCCTTCAAACAAACAGAATGAGTGTAAACATAACTGTTTCGATAATATAGCATGTCCAAAAATAGTGGTCTTGTGGCTCAACTTACCCCGTGTGTGGGGTAAGTTGAGCATATGACCTCATGTTGTAGCTCATAGATACCACAATTGATGTATAAAACAAATTTAAAATTATCTATTTTGGTCTAAACACAATTCTCATGAAACTTATGATAGACTAAATTCACTTTCAAGAGTGAAAAATGATTTTTTGGAAATAAATATCTAACCACTTTACCCATGTGGTTCTTACATTCACAGACTCCATGAAATGATGCCTTCCTCCTAAATATTTGGTCACATGATCAATGTTTTTTACCATTTCCTAACAACAAGGGGTGGCTCAACTTACCCCAATCTCCCCTACAGGGTTTAGAGTATTGGAATCTTCATTGGGAAAGAAAACATGGGATCAGTGCATTCCTAGTGTGTGATAAAGAAAAGTTTCCTCATTTTACGATGCAGTTAACGCCGCATTTCCTCACTGCACTCTGGTGTCATCATGTGTCCCTCCAGGGCAGTTATTGAAGGACTTTGGCTGCGTTTCCAAGGTGAGCAGGTGGAGGTCTGTGTGCATCGTGAGCGGAGGAGGAGGATCCTGCAGACACTGGTGTGGTTTGTTGTCACCCTCGTCCTAGCCCTCTTCATCCCAGATATTGGTCGGGTGATCTCTCTGATCGGAGGATTGGCAGCCTGCTTTATCTTTGTATTCCCAGGTAACCCTTCCCTCACCCTTAGCAAGGTTTCAGATTTCTGTGCAATTTTAATGTCACACTGTAACGTCTGTCGGATGTCTCTTTAACTCAACAGGTTTGTGTTTGATGCAAGCCAAGCTGTCAGAGACAGACAATCGATCTGCAAGGTGAGCCTATTCTTGGATGTCTTTTATTTTCTTTGGAATTGTTTTGCATGCTCTCCTAGCGCTTATGTGTGTGCTTGCATGCCTGGAGTTGGTCCTCGGGTGCTACATTGCTACTCTATAGTCAGGATGGGTGACAGGAGAGGAATTTCCTTGCATGGATTAGTGAAGTATAATTTAGAGATGCAATATCACACTTTGGCCATTAGGGTGCAGAAAAACCATCAAAAGAAACTATTGCAATATCACCAGCTGCTGGAGTTGTCATGGCAAACAATGAGCTAAAAAGGACTAGCACTGCAGAGTATAGTCGATAACATGCAACTATTTTGATGTTAAATAAATTGCTTGTCATTTCATAAGCAAACATTCTCAGGTTCCAGCTTCACCAATGTGCAACTTCTCTTTTATATCAATGTAAACGGAATATTGTAAGGTTTGGATTCATTAATAAAAGAATCTGCTGATTAATCGATTATGAAAATCTGTTAGATGCAGCCCTGAAATAAACTTAAGATCCCCTCCAACATGTATTAAGACATATAAATTAGTCTGCTTGGAATAATAATGTGTGTCTGATATGTTATCTACTCTAAACACAACTAAATATTTGTGATGTCACAAATCATGCTGGTAGGCCCCGCCCAGCACAGAGAAACTTTCCGCTTTCAGCAGATGAATGTGAACACATCCTTCTACTGTCAAACTCTGCACTTACATCATTCTGCACAGTGAAACCTCACACTGTAGGAACAAGAAGACAAACATTTTTGAGTGAAGGGGGACTTAAACAGTTGGATGTTATCGTCAGTGACTCGTTCATATTAGAGATATTTGACTCTGTCGGTATAAAAAAAAGTTTAATGCAAATTTGAGTAAACCTATTTCCTTGATGAGGATTTTCTTTAATGTTGGTCTCTCTGTCACAGCTGGCACGGATTGGTGGTCTTCGGTGTTGTCATGGTTACAATCGGAGCTTTCATCTTTGGCCTCACCACGACTAACTCCATCTATCAAGACGTCGTTAGCTAAAAGGAACATTTTTGTCGGAGCCAGCGGTGTCCTCGTTATTGAAGACGGAGGGGGGGGCCGGTGGGGGCTTAGTCCTGTGCTGCTATACTGAACTACTCGATACGATGAAGAAGCATCTCATGACACTCATTTAAAAAAAAAAAACAACTCTACGGCATGTCACATCCCTGCTCCATGTTGAGTTAAAGCTCCACAGCTCTTTACTCAGTCAGGTAGTATTCAGAGACACCCCACAATGCCAAGTGACTTCAGACACTTTGCCTTTTAATTTATGTAAAATTTTAATTGCATGTTTTATGTTTTTATGATGATTTTAACTTGCTGTCAGAATGTTTTTCAACGGTTTAGCCATCCCACCAGGGCACAGAGCGGCTTCCCCCGTCTGTAGACCCTGTGTGGATGACACATTCCTGTCCTGTTTACAAGAGCCGAAGGACTTTGTATAGAAAGGTCTTACAATCAAATTGATTTTAATAATGAAATTGTACCAATTTGTGTATTTTAACTTGCATGTCAAAGTAAATGTTTCTTATTGAAAATGACATGCTGTGGTTCCCAGGTTTAATCCAGGTCCAGACTTTAAGTTGGCGCTGCTCGTAGTTTGTCCACAAATTAAACTGAAGTGAGTGATAGGTTTGCATCATTAATGAGTGATATGTCCACTGCAGGGCCGGGCTATTCAAGTTAATTTATTAATTTCCGGTCAGGATTATATTTTTTTAAAATACATTCAGGAAATCATTTTGAGTTATTTATGTTTTAGTTTTGTTTCTTATATATTTTCTTACATATTTTATAAAGTGAGAAGTACTTTGATGATTTTATAATTGGCTTTGAGGTAAAATTATATTTTAAGACAAGTTTGCAAAAGTGCAAGCCTGCAGGCCTTTGAGATTAGTTGCTTCAATGTGCAGACAGGCGGAGAACCTCAGCAGTGCTCCTCCCCAAACACTGCACAGATCAGCAGGATGTCCAAGACGAGCAGCGCCTCCACATTCAGGAAATGAAAAAAGCCAAAATCTTTGAAGCGAAAATGACTCTTTGTGAATGTATGCAACAAAACAAAAATGGATGTAACCTACACAGAATTCAGTTTGCACATCATTTTACAGGAACAAGTTGCTCTTGGTGTACAGAAACAGATTATCTGTCAGTGGGGAGATGCCAATTAGTAAAACTCAGTGAGGTTTTATTTATTTGTTTCTACCACAAGAATATCTTTACCAAAATATCAACCAATATTTAACACTAATTAAAGACGTTAATACAATTATTGAGATCATTACATTGGATTGTAAGTTAAATTGATTTAATTTGCCAAAATTATTTTTTCAATCAAGCTGCAAATACAGCTGAAATAAATAATTAAAATAAAGAAAATGTTCAAAGGTTTACAGTGACTTTTATATCTGGTTTTACACTTAATTACATTACAGCTAATAATCTTTGGTACGTTGAGCATGTTATGATCCATAATTCAAGACTTTGTTTCTACTGTTTATCCACATTTGATGAAACCATAAGGTGTTATGTGGACATCAGGGAAAAAGAATGTGAAAAGGGATTTTACGTTGCCTTAGTCACACTGTTGGACTAAATACATGGATATATTTACCGTATTATTTAGAGGAAGGGAGGGGAGCTACAGTCAGAGCAGTAATGCTGTCTGAACAGAAAAAACACTTTAGAGCGTCAAGACTGTTTTTATATTAAAATGTCTTGTAATCATTGTTGGAATACAAATAGTTTTTATGGTTTGTTTGATTTCTTTTAACCTTTTGGTGCTGCAGACAGTTTGTCTGGTCACGAGTGAATGTCAGGTGCATTTATAATTTCTGTCACTGATTTACTGTGTTTTCAAGAATGTACACTTTTTTCATTTGTTAATCAGAAATCATGTGTCCCTGTTGTCTCAAACCAAAAGTTGACTTGCAAACAAAGTTCATGGCAAATTTGAATGGTAATACTTAACAGAACTACCTGTGATGTACCGATGAGTGAACTACAATGAAGGCATGTGAATAAATCTGACAATCCGTGTTACTGGTGGTTTTTTAATAAAAAGGGACAAATGCAAGTGAAGTAGAAGTTTTGATCAAGAGGAGTATTTTATTTAAGCTCAGAACAACCAGCTCGTATCCGTTATTTATTTTTTCTGAAAATGGTCAAAGAAAACAACAAATATCAAGATTTGACTTTACATCAGTGCCACAGGAAATCGCTTAATTTGATCAGATAAGGTGCAGTCTGAGTATCTGGACAAGGACAGTTTCTGTTTTTAATTCAGCACATTAGATATGAAATGAAATAGGTCAAAGTGTTGACTCTCTGAGCAGGGTTTTCACTTCTATTTTAGGTGAACAGTAAAAGGACTTGTAACCTTTTGTACATACATTAGTAGTTCCCTAGTTTTAGGACAATACTCTTAAACAAGGCCACCAGTGAGGTTTTAAGGCTAAGCAGAACTGAGGGTGCTTTTAACTTACTGAAAACAAGACTGAAGGCACAAACCCAAAATGAGAAGTGAAGCTGACAGATAATAAATATTGAATTATTTTATTCACATGTTTGTATTCAATTACTGGATTATTATGGTCCTTTAAAATGACAGACTGTCTACAAAGGGTTTTAACTCCTACACTATTAGTCCAGTATCAGTGTAAACCTCAAATCTGGAAGTTTTTCTCTTTAAGTGTTTCATTTCAAATACAATGTGATGCAGATAAAATCCAGAACAACATATAACGTGTCCCTCTCCAAATATTCACACTGCAGATACTCAATGAACAATACAAATGATAAAAAATAAGTGCCCTAACGGTCCTTTTCCCTCCAAAATCATCGTCCCTGAGAAATATGTACCATCTAACAAGTGAAGAGTGCAGGTATATGACACACAGCAGTCTCCATTGTGGCTCAATAGTAGTCATTTGTTATGAAAGACTGGAACATGTGGAAAGCTGGACCTGGAGCCCACTGAGGAACCATGTGACCTGCACCCTGAAACACAGAGGAGAGAAATACTTAACAATAATGCAACCGTATTATCATCAACAACACAACTGTGCTTCTATGGCAGACACTAAACAATAGCTAGTGGTTACCTTGACTGTCAGGAAGGTAATGTTTCCAAACTGTTGGTAGAAGCCAGCAATCTGGTCATCGTGAATCCAGGTTTGGTATTTAGTGGTTGCCTGAAAACAACATTTATTAGTAAGAAGTGTGTCTGGTTGTAGTTTGGTGGTGTAGTTTACTAAAAAAGTTCCTACCTCCAGTCCGAGGTCTTCCACAAACCACTGGTCTCCCAGGAAGTTGCAGGCCATGTCAGTGTCTCCATTGTAGACGAGTGCCCGCAGGCCCAGAGAGATCAGCTTCAGATAGACGTCCTTCACTGTCAGGTACAGGGTGCTGTACTGCTCTCCAACATCATCACTGAGAGGAAGAAAAGAGTTCATTATGAGCATGATCAACATGTCCTTGACCTCCCACTCAACTGCCCAAAGACAAGAGCAGAAAATGCCTCAGTTACAAGTTATTACAGTCAGATTTTAAGACTCATTAGTGACTCGTTATTAGTTTCTGATTAGGTGTAGGTGTTAGCGGTAAGATACCTGCAGAGGTCCCAGGGTGGCAGTGTAGCTGGAATGTGTAAAGCTTTCCTCACGTCTCCTCTGTTCAGCCAGTTCATCTGAGCCGTGCTGTTGATGCAGGGAGGAACTTCACCCAGAGACACGGAGGAAGGCGCTCCTTCTGAAAACTTCATTAAAAAAATACTTTTATCCCTGATGCTGCACGGCAATAAGAATAATTGAATCCACAGACGCACGGGCATGCAGCACTTCTTCACAGAGGGAAATACTTACCTTGAGGGTGTGCATGTGTTTCCCATAGTTTTTAAACAGGTGACTCATGGTCCTCTCGTAACCTCTGTGGGATCTTCTGCCACCCTCGCAATCCAAGTACAGGGCATACTCATTAAGTCCGCTGTTATACACAATACCAAAGGCCACATTCACCTGAAGGGAGATAAGGACGTGAAATCTGACTGAGAAATGCCAGAAATGCCCAGATTAACTCTGAAGAAATAGTGCACACGTACCAGCGTTTTGCAGGTGTCTGAACTGGAGTTGTAGAAGTTACAGATCCCCTTTTCACAGCAATTTATGTTCAGATCACGCCACAGACTGCACATAATAGACAGCTTTAAAATGACAATCACTGCATCAACTACAGACAAGTAATTTATAACGGCATGGCTTGTTGTCAGTACTTAAATATATGTGCAATGATGCAAAACACTAACAAAACACTAGCACCTGATGACATTGCTTTTTAAACATATTCCCTCAAAGCAAACAAGCTTCCTCTACAACAAGGTACCACTTACTCTTCTCCAAAGAGGCCGTGGTAGTAACCAAAGTAGATCAAACTTTGGTCATTAAGCGCAAAGCTGCTGAGACCATTTCCCACTGCAAAGCCCTGGAAACAAAAATATATCCAAGCTTCATGTTAGCCGTTACATTAAGTCTGCTTTACTGCAAAAGTCAGTTTCACAAATCCACCTGAAGGGCACAATAACATTATTAATCATAAACTGCATTCAGGTGGTGTACTGATACGGGGCAGCTGATGGTGCTGATGAGCTGAACATCAGAGGATACGTTTGCACTCAGTGTGAAGCCTCTCACCTTGAAGTTGATCTTGGCTGCTCCAGTAGCCACGCGCAGGCTGAGCGTTGGTGCATAAATTCCACCATAACTTTCCCCAAAGATGAAGAACTCATTTTGAGTGAAGTTTGGGAACTTGGCAAAGAAACTCTGCAGGGCTTTGTAATTATCATCAGCAACCTAAGAGAAGAACATGTGAAATGAAGAGGCTGTTTTGAAGCTTTTCTTCATTTTGCAAAAATGGGGAAGGCACTGAACTCACCTGGTCGTCGTCCGTGGCATACTTTTTGTCATCAGAGTAGGAATATCCCACTCCTGCAGGAGACTCTACATACAGCACATTGGCAATCTTATTCCAGCTTAAGGCGTTTTCATACAGTGAGGCTCCGTTATCATTTACCTGAAAACAAAACAATGCCGAATCAGAGTCACTTTTACTCCGTCCACAGGTGTAGTTATTCACAAAGTTATCATGCTTACATGAAATGGTCCATTCTCTGACAGGAATCCATCCAGCGAGCTGCAACCTGGGCCTCCATTCAGCCAGAGCACCAAAGGGTCTTTGACTGGGTCCCTCTGAGAAGTCACAAACCTGCAGGAGGTCAAGGCCAGGGTGAAATACCGCATGACATACTGAAAGGTCACACACCTGCTGCACACCACATTAAAAGTTCAAACTGGGTAAACAACTATGGCCTCATTCAAAATGACTTTTGGCACCAAAGATGTGAACAATTGGCAATATTTTTTTTAAATAAACGTAATCTTTTGTTACAAGTATCCAGGTCACCCTGCAGGGTGTATGTGGCCTAGGCCACCTGGATGTTTTTAAATATGCCTTTTAAAAAAATCCCCGTGTGCACTGTCTATGAGGAAGTCTAAAACAACCCAGGTTATTTGGTTCACATCCTGGTGAGGCTTACTGAGAAGCTGCAGAGAGCCAGTCGGCCACTGTTTCTTACCAATAATGGAGAAACTTCCCCGGCCGTGCCTGCAGGTACCCCGACCACTGTCGATAGTTGGGTTTGAACGTCATACCTGGCAGGTGAGTTACCTCGTCAGGAGCGTACTGAGCCCGCGAGCCGAGCTGACACACGGCCAGCAAACACACCAACAACACACCGGCAAACATCGCTGGGTAAAGAAACACACACTACACAACACCTCTCATCGATTTAAGAGAGAGACCAGGCTTTTTGTGGCAGGAACTTCCTCCAGCGTCCTCAATGGCAGCTCCGCGTGAACAAGTCGAACAGGAACGTCATATGACTGCTGCTGTGGGCCACGTGACCAGCGCCTGACTCTACACGGAAGTTCTGAACAACAAATAATAAAGAGACATTATGTTAAACTTAAAAAGTCTCTTTATGGTGATATTTGTAGAGTTTTCAAAAATAAAGAGGGCTTAAAGGCATATCATATGTTAAGAAACATTATGGACACAATTTAATTCACGACTTAATAAATTTTTTTTAACTATGTTTTAATTATCTATTTGTGTTCTTTGCTTTGTTGTGATTCAATATGAGGTCATATGTGTGAATACATCGTTTTATTTTATATTTTTCCTAATGCTCCATGTACTGTTTCTTTGTGTAGTGTTGTATTGATACTACTCTGTTAGCCATAAAACATAAAACATATGAAAAACAAAAAATAGAGAGCCAGCATGAACAAATAGTATCAGTAACAAATCAGTTTGCTAATTATATTGTTAGGAAAATTTCACATTCACCAAAAAAATAAATTTTCATCAAGAACTGCATCAATATGGCACAATGATAAAAGGAGGCAATTACATCTAACTACATGTTTGATAAATTACAATGGATTGATAATACATTTGTTTGTTTTTTACTTTATATGGTACCCCTGGGATGAGCGGTTTTTGGCTGTACATACTATTCATGTGCACATGTTATATTAAATAATAATAATAATAATAAAAAGAACAAATAGCTCAATGGAATATTATTCTTTCATTTCTTCTCAACAAGTCTTCTGTGGAAAGGGCCAGTTTACCAAATAGGCATTGTAGCACACACAGTACAGCACGTTGATATTTAATATGGAATAAAATATTGAAACCATTGACAGTATAAATAGATTGAAGCCATGGGGCCCCTAAACAGCCCTGGTTCCCTGCATGGTTGGTCATTTCATTTCCCTGTGTCAATTATAGTTTTACTATTTTAATGTATATTGTCCTTACAGGCAGCAGCGTTCAGGCCTGTAGCCACCACTGAGGACGCTGAATGTCCTTGGTGTTTCTTCTGGGAGTTTGAGGGCTTTAGGAGAGATTACAATTAAAAAATAACACTTGGTGGATAATTTATGGAGTCTTTTAGACAAATTCTGGCCCAACAAGTAAATCAA